AAGAGATTGAACCTTCCCTAATAATAGGCCTCTACTTTATTCAGATAGTATTCATGTGCGCTTTCTGACTAACATACAATCATTAGGTTTAAACCTAAACTTGTTTATCTATGTTGGTTGAATATAATGCACAAATAAATCTATTATTGGCGATCACTTGAATTATAATCAAATTAACCCTAAACAAGATTGTTAATTATCTTATTAAGCGTGATTACAAATACCAATCCCCTTTAAACATGCATAAAAGGTGTGATCAAGCAATAACAATAAATAATATCAAGCAACATAATAATAATCAAAATAATTACAACTATCATAATTAAAAATAATCATGTTAACAATAAAGGATAATATTAATAGCAAGATCCTAGGCATGATACTAACAAGGTTAATAACAAATCCTAGCATGTCACTAAACATCAAAAATCAAAGCTTTAGCCCTAACACGATACTAACATGAATAAATATTAGAAAGAACATAAAAGGCATCATATTTTTAATCATACTTAATATTAAAGTTACCCTAGACATGATACTAGGAATTTATTGTTGTCACCCTAAACATCAAATTAAGGAAAACATTCTAACATAATACTAGGCATCAAAATAACAATCTAAGCATGATTTCTATATCATAATATCAATCAAACAATTAAAGCACTTACTTGGATGCCTCGTACCTCTTTCTAATAACAAAAACACTCGTTAGTAACTTCAAGGAAAATAATAAACAAATAATCAAATTAAATAATTGAAATAGATATTTGGGACCAAACCCTCAGAAATTAAACCTTTCACGTATAGGGCGAAGGCAACTTCGAATATGGATAGGTGTTTCTAGATCTTGTGAATGCAGAATTTTGTATGTAAAAGCAAGTTTAGAAAAAGAGAGAAAGAAAGATGGTGAATGAAGGATTAGGGAAATCTTGATGAGAATTAGCAAATGATTAAAGAGAATGAGAGAGAATTGAAAACTGGTCGTAGGTGAATGTTAATTAAAACTTGTTGTTGATGATGAAAACGGAGTTTTTAATACGTCATTTATAGAGAAAATCAGTCAAAAAGATAAAATATCAAAACAGAGTCCTCATTGGCGCTAGGCGCCAATGCTTGGCGTTTGGCGCTAACACTGTTTTTGACGCACTTTATCAAATCAGATAAATTTTGCCGTACAGGAGGATAAAATCGTATCTTTTCCTTAAAAATGTTCTTTGATTTTAATTAAAACTCTGAAAAGTCAACGAAAGTCAATTTATCAATGCTAATTGAATTAGGAATGGAAAGAACCTTCTAGAAGAATCTAGAAGACTAAAACCATTCCTAATTGAATTAGGAATGATAAATCATATTAGGCCCTCCCCTAGATCATTGGGCCAATATAAGGCTCAAACCGGGCCAAGTTTAGTAAATTGGCCATAACTTCCTCAATATTCATCGGAATTGGGCTTATAATATATCGTTGGAAAGCTCTTTGCAAGCACCATCCAAACACTACTATTGGACCCATATCATGGACCAACCAAATTGGATTGGCTGTTTTCTTAAAATAAGTTTTCAAAAACAGAGAGAAGAGAAAAGAAATTAAAACTATCCGCAACACTATACTTTCCACACTTTCTCTTCATTAGATTATGATTCATTTGGGGAGACACAAATGCGTCGAATCATAATCGAATGAAGTGAAAGTGTGGAAAGTCCAGTGTTGCGGAAAGTTTTAATTTCTTTTCTCTTCCCTCTGTTTTTGAAAACCTATTTTAAGAAAACAGTCAATCCAGTTTGGATGGTCCATGATATGGGTCCAATAGTAGTATAGTTGGATGGGGCTTGAAAAGTGATTTCCAATGATATATTATAAGCCCAATTCCGATGAATAATGAGGAAGTTATGGCCAAATTACTGAACTGGGCCCGATTGAGCCTTATATGCGGCCCAATGATCTAGAGGAGGTCCTAATATGGATTTATCATTCCTAATGCAATTAGGAATGGTTTTAGTCTTCTAGATTCTTCTAGAAGGTTCTTTTCATTCCTTTTTCAATTAGGATTGATAAATTGACTTTTGTTAACTTTTCAGAGTTTTAATTAGAATCAAAGAATATTTTTGAGAAAAATACGATTTTATCCTCCTGTACGGCAATTTCTATCTGCTTTTAAGAAAACATGGAATTTCTTAATCAGCGCCAAACGCCAGCTGTAGCGCCTGGCGCTAGCATTGGCGCCTGGCGCTAATGTTGGCGTCTGGCGCCAATAGCCAGCGTTGGCGCTAATCCAATTTTATTTCCGTCAGAACTCTGATTTGATATTTTATCTTTTTGGTTGATTTTTCTATAAATTACGTCGTAAAAACTCCGTTTTGATGGACCAATTCTCACGAACTCTCATCAAGATTCTCTTGATTACTCTCTCTATCTCTCTTTTCTAAACTAGTCTTTTCACAAATATAAAAATTCCGCATTCATTAGATTTAGAAACACCTAGCATTGTTCGAAGTTGCCTTCGCCCTAGACGTGAATGAAAGAGGTACGAGGCATCAAAATAAGTACTTTAATGGTTTTTATTGATATTATTATGTAGGAATCATGTTTAGGTTGTTATTAAGATATTCCTAGTATCATGTCTAGGGTAACTTTAATATTAAATATGATTGTTATGATGCCTCTTATGTTCTTCCTAATATTTATTCATGTTAGTATCATGTTAGGGTTATAGCTTTGATTTTTATTGTTTAGTGACATGCTAGGTTTTGTTATTAATCTTGTTAGTATCATGCCTAGGATCCTGCTATTATTGTGGTTTAACATGAATATTATTATGATTATTATGATTATTATTGTTGTTGTATGATATTATTTATTGTTATTGCTTGACCACACCTTTTATGTTTAAAGGGTATTTATACTTGTAATCACGATTTAATAAGATAATTAATAATCTTGTTTAGGGTTAATATGATTATAATTCAAGTGATCGCCAATAATAGATTTATTTGTGCATTAATATTCAACCAACATAGATAAACAGGTTTAGGGTTAATCCTATTGATTGCATGTTAGTCAGAAAGCGCACATGAATACGATTAGAATAAAGTAGAGGCCTATTATTAGGGCAGGTTCAATCTCTTTTAGGTTGGATTTGTACCTTCATCCCCGAACCCTATTTGGTTCAAGACCTTATGGAGTTGACGATCTCTTGGATCGTTAAGGGGTGTAACCTTCACCTCGTAAACGGTTTACAAGTTCCTAAAAATCTTGTTGGCGACTCTTTTGCTCTATCTTCTTTCCCTTTGGACGCCACCGTACTTTAGTGTATGATCACAGTGGGGTTCAAGCTAGGGGTTAGCGCTTGAAATATTCCCTACAGGTACTCATCACCGGGTTTGGTTTTGGGGAGATACAAATGGGTGTCTACAGGTCCTGTATAGCACAAAGTTTGTTAGTAAATTGCATGACACAATTTGAGTCATCACATAATCGAGTCACCAAAATTAAATTACAATTCAATTGCGGTTCATAAAGAACATTCTCAATAGTCAAGCCCCCTTGCAAAATCACTGAGCCAATTTTGTTAGAATTGGCATATTTTCCATCCGGCAATCCCACCAGACAATTTTGAATAGTAGAAACATTCGTCAACAATGATAACTCGCAAGTGACATGATTTGATGTCCCGTGAGCTAGTATAAAACATATTCTTGGGCCTCAACCATCAGGTTAAGCTTTTGGTTGAGTTGGTCCTTTAACATGGTATCGGAGCCAGCGTGACACAAAGGTCACAAGTTCGAATCTCATCCGCCCCTCCTTCAAAGTGGAATTAATTCGCACTAGGTATGGGTGGGTCTATGTTGCATCCACATTTCAAGCCTAAAGCCCATTAGTACATTGCATGTCTATCTTATCATAAATATTTTTTTTTTTTCTGAAAACGTTTAAAGTGATTAATGCATCAAAGTAACTATTTTATTAATTCTTTCTTTGTCTTCAAATTATGTTAAAGCATAGTTTACCCCATGAGTACATTGCATGTCTATCTTATCATAAATATTTTTTTTTCTGAAAACGTTTAAAGTGATTAATGCATCAAAGTAACTATTTTATTAATTCTTTCTTTGTCTTCAAATTATGTTAAAGCATAGTTTGCCCCATGAGTACATTGCATGTCTATCTTATCATAAATATTTTTTTTCCTGAAAACGTTTAAAGTGATTAATGCATCAAAGTAACTATTTCATTAATTCTTTCTTTGTCTTCAAATTATGTTAAAGCATAGTTTGCCTCAATCAAAAAAAAAAAAAAAAAAAGTTAAAGCATAGTCTATGTATCCATAGTACACTTCGTATATAATTTTTTTTTTTTTTTTTTTTGGAACCAAAGAAGGTAGTATTAATTCAAGGATAAAGCATCCGACAATACATAGGGTGAAATCTCACAAGGAACATGATTTACCCACACTTGTTCACTACCAAAGAGAATTAATCTAGCTAGATGATGGGCGACAAAATTCACATCTCTTTTAACATGAGACTAAGATACATTATCAAAATTACACGAAAGCGAAAATATATCCTCGGATCTAGGGGGGTTCAAGGGGGTTCATTGAACCCCCAGATTTTTTGAAAAAAAATTATAAGTTTTGATTTTTTTTTAAAAAGAAAAAAAATAAGGTTAAAACAAATTTTTGTGAAGTAAATAAACAAATATGTAACTCTGGCACATTGGTAAGGGATTGACTAATAGAGTAGTGAGGCTCCTCTTGATCATGTGTTCGAGACCAACCACCCTCATTTTTTTTGTTTTTTTTTTCCCTCTTTCGATTTCTTCCGTTGTTCTTCATGAGTTAGTCCATAGTTGGGTCAATAATTTTAGGAGTAGTATGTTGGTCATTTTGTTAAGTTAGACAGTTAAATGAATTTACAAGTTAATGAGTTTATTTAGTGGGTTAAACATGGCATTATACTTTCAGTTTTTTAGCTTATTATTTGTTGTTTGTTAGCCTACATATATGGCTCTTGTATTTGGTGAAGTAAGCATGAAGAAATATTATGAGTTCTTTATTTTACTTGCTTCATACTTATCTAGTATTATTATTGTTTTTATCCTTTAGTACATATTAGTTTCAACAGTCATCTTATTCCTCTACTCCTCTTAATTCTTAAATCATTATTTGTTTGTAAATTAGTGATAATTAGATTAATTATTGATTTGTTTAATTAGTTTTGATATATTGTTGACGTACAAATTGAATTTAGAAACTTAGAATTTAAAAGTTTTACTTGGTCTTTTAATTGATAATTAGAAAAAAATTTCATTATCAAATTTGTGTTTATTGGGGACTTGGGATTTTTGTTTTTCGAATTTTCGTGTAATATTGATTTTTTGCAATATAATTATAGATTTATCATTTATAGAAGTAGTAATGTTTTAGCACGCTTTCAAAGTATAAAACTCGAAGAATGCTTTTGTATGGTTTTTTATTTATTTATTATTTTATAACTGTTTAATCCATTCATTTGTAATAAAAAATTTGAACTTATATATTGAATATTTAATTAATATATGAGCATCGTTTTTTTTTTAAGATTCCGAACCCACAGTTCGGAATTCCTAGATACGCCACTGAGTATAGCATCCAACTCCGTTAAATAAATCGAGACATTTGTGAGGCATTTGATCAAGATTTCATTACCAGACTCAACGATCACTTTCTTGCAATCTAAGGCATAAATGATGGTGAATATTACAAACAATTTGGTAATAAAAAAAGAGTAAGCCACACCAATTGCTATAATGGTACATAGTTCCCCTTCCAATTATCGGAGATTTTTGGGATTGATTTTCATAACATGCCCTTGTGGCTCTATAAACAACTACAAAAATAAAAAATAAAATAAAAATAAAAACTTAAATTGTTACACTCTTCATTTCATGAAGTATTTCCTGTATACGTTTATTGTTGAAAATATTTGATTGCAAAAATTTTTAATCAATAAAAAACAGATAGAAGATAAATTTGTTCCCTTATAAGTAAACTTCATTAGACTTCAATAATTCTTCATAAAACCAAAAGACACTATAGTTATCCAAAATACTTCAGATTTCAATATTAAATAAACTCAATTTTTCCTAAAAAATATGCAGTGCTCGATTGAGGAAACAAATGTTGTTCGTCCTCTTGCACATTATCATCCAGACCTTTGGGGCGATCGCTTCTTCAACTATACTCCTCCAGATACGGTATGATTTACACTTACTCCGTACGTAACATAAAAGTTAAACCAAAATTTGACATTATTTGAACAAAAATTTGTATCTTTCAAAAAAAAAATGAATATAAATTTGTAAAGTTAAAGATTATTAAAAACTTTCCAATTATAAAAGTTTAATATAAAATTCCATCTAATCTAGTTTGATAAGATTATTCTTTAAAAATAAGCAACTACTTGGCATCAACTTATATACCCAGTAAGTTGAATTGAACATAGCCCTAAAAGGTGAAAATATATGGTATGAAGAAATTGTCTACAAGTAAAATATGATCTCCCTTTTTCTTTTTGACTATTGGCTTAGGTTACCCAAGGCCAAATGGAGCAAGAAGCTGTAGCACTTAAAGAGCTAGTGCGTCAAGAACTTTTGGTCATTGACAAGGACCCAAAAGAAAGGCTTATACTTCTAGATGACATAATTCGACTAGCAGTAGCATATCACTTTGAAGATGAAATTGAAGACATCTTAAAAAAATTCTATAACAAGTTTTATGTTGATGGCTGCTATGAGGATGATCTTTACTATATTTCTCTACGTTTTCGACTTGTACGACAACATGGCTTTTATGTTTCAAGTGGTATGACACCATCTACATCACCATTAGATTGTGCTTGGATATAGTTTTGTGTTAATTTACTTATGATAAAAAATACATTATTTTTATGTGAAAAAACAGATGTATTTGAAAAGTTCAAATGTGAGGAAAAGGAACGCTACTTTAAGGATTGCTTAACAAGTGATGTGCAAGGTTTATTGAGCTTGTATGAAGCATCATGTCTAGGAGTACATGGAGAGAAAATACTTGACGAAGCCCGTGCATTTGCTACTACTCATCTAACCTCCTATGCTACACAATTAAGCTCTCCCATGGCCGAACAAATAGACCATGCCCTAAAACTACCCCTCCATCGACGCAGTATAAGGCTAGAATCACGGCTTCAAATCTCATTTTATGAATCAAAGTCTTGCCACGATGAAACTTTACTTAAATTTGCAAAGATAGATTTCAACTTGCTTCAAATATTTTATAACATTGAACTTAGAGATCTTACCAGGTAAATAAATATGTGCGGTAACTTGTTATACTACCTCTGTTACAGATTATGTGCAACTTTTGGGTATTATTTATGAAGCATACAAAATTCAAATGTTGCACATAATATGTAACAGAGGTAGTAGATACAAGTATTTTATTTAGCTAGTGCTGCTGAATCATTCAAAATATTTACTTCTTTGTAAATTCCCAACTATTATATTTACTAAACTTAGGTGGTGGAGAAGGCTCAACATGCTAAATAAGCTGCCCTTTGTGAGCGACCGAGTGGTAGAGGCTTACTTCTGGATCTTGGGAGTGTACCATGAACCTAAGTACTCGTACGCAAGGATGTTGCTTAACAAATTGTTCAAAAATGTATCTGTCATTGATGACATCTACGATGCTTATGGAACTATTGAAGAGTTAAAACCCTTCACACAAGCTATTCAAAGGTTCGTTACCATGAATGCATTAGGCCAAATCAAACTAAATTTAGTTTTCTGTCCTAAATCTATTCTTAAACCTAATAATTATTGAACTAACTTGAACTTTGACATGATGAAATATTAGGTGGGATAAAAGCTGCATCGAAGAACTCCCGAGCTACATGCGGGTTATTTATCAAGTTATCTTAGACACGTTTGAAGAAATTGAGCAAAACTTAGCTTTGGAGCAACGATCATTTGCTGTTTACCATCTCCAACAACAAGTACATACTAAGGCTTTATCTATAATATGTGAACTGGCTAAAAGCTTAGATTTATATATTAGTTATATGATAATATAAGTATAAACTAAAAATTAGTTTCTCTTTGAAATTATATAAGAACATATTTCAATGTCTATTTCTATTTGATAGATGAAAGCTTTATTCCAAGCTTACTTACAAGAAGCTATTTGGCGTCATCAAAATGTTGTTCCTACATACGACGATTACATGAAAAATGGCATCAGAAGCTCCGGCTATTTGTACGTAATAACTGCATCTTATCCAGGCATGGGGGAGTTAGCGACTAAGGATGCCTTTGAATGGGTCAACCATAGAACAAAGGCTCTAAACGTTTCATGCATACTCGCCAGGCTCTTGAATGACATTGGTAGCCATAAGGTATGTACTAGTAGTAGTCTCTTAGCTTTATTACAATCAAATCGAGCTCAAGATATGATATACTTCCTTTGTTTCTATTTAGTTTGATGGATGACTATTCAATGGCTACACTAAATTTGTAGCCATTGTAATTATATGTAATCTTAGCCCTTCAATTTTATAGAAGCAATCTCAGCCGTTCTTTTATATATTTGACTTAGAGAAAGAAAATTAAATAAGAAAACTGCAATATTGTTGTTGTGAAATGGAGTTATGAATAGAAAATTTTCACCATCGATTCACACACGATGATGATTAACAATTAAAAACCTCCATAGATTTGTAGTACACATGCACTAATCAATCTTCCCAAAAGTGATTAAGCAAAAACCCAATCAGCGATTTCGTTAATACATGTATTCCATGATTTTATTTATTTATTTATATTTTAACCGCTACTAAAAGCATTAACAACATCTAAAGATTTTGTCATTAGTTGCTGTAATTAAGGTGGAAATTTACCCACCACTGTTCTTATATGGAGCAGAGGTTGAAGAGATAAAGATCAGATGCGTAGGAGCATCAATGAATTAGATTCAGAAATGATGAAAAGGAAGGGGAAAGATTAATGAAGTTTTCATGGTAAAAAAATATTTATAACTTAGTCAATGAAATAGATAGTGAAGATTTAACATTAGAAAATAAATGGTCATGATCAAAACATTACAATGGCTACCAAATTATTGTGGCCATTGCAAACTTATCCTAGTTTGATAACCAGATTTTATTTATAGTAATTGGACTTGGAAATACTTCATACGTAGCTAGACTGGCTACATATAAATTCTTCTAATTGATATAGTATATAAGACATGTATCTTGCTTAACAAAAACAAATCAACAATGTGGATTATTGCATAATTTGCATTACTAGGAACATAGCATACTATAACTCAATAAGCACATCATGAGTATAAATATCATTCATGTTTAGAAATATCTTTCCTAGGTTTATTTTTGGTGGAGTATACTTAGTATAAACCAATTCTAGGTTATGTGAATCAGTTTAAATGGTTTTTATCATGATATCAAGAGTAGTTGTGACAAGAAAAAAAAAAAAAAAAAAAAAAGGTCAAACTAGGTTCAAATCTAAACCACCTCTTATTTGACGTAGATTATTTAATTTAGCACTGGGTATGGGGATGCCGATATTACATTCACATTTCAAGCCCCACATACTTATTAGAATTGGTTTTTTTGTACGAATAGATTATGATAGGATTGATTTATATACTCTATCAATTTTATTTTTATTTACTTGTTCTTTATTATATAATTACCCTTCGAAATTATATATTAATAAAATTCACAACCTTACCGTAATATTAACAGGTTTGTTACTAATAATAATCATAGCGATTTCTTCAAAAAAAAAAAATTAATAATAACCATAGCAGTTATATACAAATGCTCTCAATCTAACTCATTATTTCATTTTTTGATGGACTTTTGTAGTTCGAAAAGAGACGAGGCCATGTTTCATCTGCAATAGATTGCTACATGGATCAATTTGGAACCTCCATGGAAGAAGCTACGAAGGCGCTCCGATCACACATTGAGGAAGCATGGAAGGACATTAATGAAGAATTGATTGGGCCAATAATTGTTCCAAAGCCTTTGCTATTTCGAGTCATAAACTTATCAAGGACATTATATGACGTTTATCACATTGATGAAGATGGCTATACTACTGGCACTTTAATGCAAGAAAAAGTTGCAACAATTCTTATTCATTCTATCACATCATAAATTATACAACGTATATGGATTTTGCGTCTCTTTTATCACCTTATATTTTACTTTTGTATTGAGAAATTTACTTTTGGTTATGATGTAATGATTTGAGTTACTTTTGGTTATGATGTAATGATTTGAGTTGATATTTTTTGTTTCTTAACTTTAGAGTATCATCATAAATTCAAAATATTTGAATTTTTTGTAAGAAAGATGCATGCATCCTGTTTATATGATTATAACATCAACTTACTTTTAAAGAATTCACAGGGGTAGTATCAACGTCTTCTGTATATTATAATTGTATTAATGAGTAATCCCTTCGTTTCGTATTAATTGCAACACTACAGTGTTTACAAAGTTTAAGAAAATTTATAGGGTGGAATTTATAGAGTAATATAAAGTATTGTTGGTAGGAGAGAGTAATAATACTAAAAAAATTATTAGTATAAGTGTGGTTGGTAGAAAAGAGAAATAATAAAATATTTGTAAAAGTGGGGTTAGTGGGAGAGAGAAGCTATAATAATATAATAATGTGGTGGGTTCTTTCAAAACATACAAGTATTGCAGTTAATATTTCGAAATGCATTATGAAGTAAGTTAGAACCCGTATTTGAGGCCAAATTATTTTAGAGCCTAGTTCAATTACTAATTAGGACTAAAACGTGTTCATATTCTTCATACATGTTAAATTTTGATTTATTACGGATTGGACCCAAATGCGTCAAATGTAATGATTGGATCAAATGGATCTTACACTGTTCAAAATCGAGCCAATCAAAACAAGTAAACACCTAATATCTGTGCATGGCCTATACAGTTAGATAGCCCTTTCAAAGAGACTTTCAACTGTTATAATAAGCCCAATTCCGGATTAAAACAAAGAAATTATTATCAAAATACTTAACCGGACCCTAAAACCGACACCCTTGCACTCAAACGGCCATATCATTTGACCCATAACAGATTTTAACATAATTCTAACGGCATTGGAAATTTGACATTCAGAACCAATGATATCTTATTTGTGTTAACCCAACTTCATAATAAAAAGTTATAGAAGTTTTAAAAACGCATTTTTATATATGGCAAACCGCACCGCATGCAACTTCCACAGTTGCGCGCGTCAGCTGCGTGCAAGTCATAGAGTTGTTCCATTGAAGTTCTTGGAGGTATGAAAATGAGGGAAGTCCATAAACGCATAAAACGGAGATCTAGATGTAGGGAATATTTCAAGCATTACCCCAAACTTGAACCCCACTGTGATCATACACTTAAGCATGGTGGCGTCTAAAGGGAAAGAATCTAGAGCAAAAGAGTCGCCAACAAGTTTTAGGAACTTGTAAACCGTTCACAGGGTCAAGGTTACACCCCTTAACGATCCAGGAGATCGTTTACTCCAATAGGTCTGGAATCAATACTGGAAGTTCGGGGATGAGTGTGCAAATCCAACCTAATAGAGATTGAACCTGCCCTATAATAGGGCCTCTATTTTATTCATGTGCGCTTTCTGACTAACATGCAATCAATAGGTTTACCCTAAACCTTTTTAAACTATGTTGGTTGAATATTAATGCACAAACAAAACTAATATCGGCGATCACTTGAATTATAATCATATTAACCCTAAACAAGATTATTAATTATCTTATTAAACGTGATTACAAGTACAAATTCCCTTCAAACATGCATAAAAGGTGTGATCAAGCAATAACAATAATATAATCTATCAAGCAACATAATAATAATCATCATAACAATAATCATAATCCAAATCATAATCATAATTATCATAATCATGTATGTTAAAACATAATATTAGCAAGATCCTAGGAATGATACTAACAAGATTAATAACAAACCCTAACATGTCACTAAACAACAAAGATCAAATATATGGCCCTAACATGATACTAACATGCTATTAGGAAAAACAATAAAAGGCATTATATAAATCATAATAAGCATATTTGATATTATAACCTTTACCTTAAACATGATACTAGAAGATCAAAACACCCTAACATGACACTAGGAATCAAAATAACAACCTAGACATGATTTCTATATCATAATATCAATAAAGCAATTAAAGCACTTACTTGAATGCCTCATACCTCTTTCTAATAACAAAATACACGTGTTAGTAACTTCAAGGAAAAGCATAAAATCAAACAATTAAATTAAATAATTGAAAGAGATATTAGGGACCAAACCCTCATAAATTAAAACCTTTCACGTCTAGGGAGAAGGCAACTTCGAACTTGGCTAGGTGTATCTAGACCTTGTGAATGCGAAATTTTGTTTGAGAGAAGCTAGTTTAGAAAAGAGAGAGAGAGTAATAATGAATTTCTTAATGAGAGTTGGTGATAATTAGATGGGAAATTGATGAGAAGAATTGATGATTGAAAACAGAGGTTTAGGACCCTATTTATAAAGAAAATCAGCCGGATATAATAAAAAACGAATCATAGTTTCGAAAAGAATAAAACACGACGCTGTGGCCAAACATGCGCCTATCGCCGGACGTGTCGCCAGACGCCAGGTCTGTCGCCCGGAGACAGACGTGTCGTACAGCGATGCAATCAGTTTATCTTATTAAGCGTGAATAAATCTATTATTGGAGATCACTTGAATTATAATCATATTAACCCTAAACAAGATTATTAATTATCTTATTAAGCGTGATTACAAGTACAAATTTCCTTTAAACATGCATAAAAGGTGTGATCAAGCAATAACAATAAATATCAAGCAACATAATAATAATTATTATAATCATGTTAACAATAAAGCATAATAGCAATATCCTAGGCATGATACTAACAAGATTAATAACAAACCCTAGAATGTCACTAAACAATAAAAATCAAAGCTTTAACCCTAACATGAGACTAACATGAATATTAAGAAAGAGAATAGGAAGTATGGCAGGAATCACCATTGTCATATTTGATATTATAACCTTTTCCCTAAACATGACACTAGGAATCAAAACATCGTAACATGATACTAGGAATCATAAAAACGATCTAAATATGATTTCTATATCATAATATCAATAAATCAATTAAAGCACTTACTTGGATGTCTCGTACCTCTTTCTAATAACAAAATACACACGTTAGTAACTTCAACGAAAATAAAAAAAACAAACAATTAAATCAAATAATTGAAAGAGAGATTTGGAACAAAACCCTCAGAAATTAAACCTTTCACGTCTAGGGCGAAGGCAACTTCGAACTTGGCTAGGTGTTTCTAGATCTTGTGAATGCGGAATTTTGTATGCAAAAGTTGGTTTAGAATAAGAGAAAGAGAGAGAGTAATCAAGAGATTCTTGATGAGAGTTGGTGAGAAGAATTGATGATTGAAAACAGAGGTTTTATGAGGCTATTTATAGAGAAAATCAGCCGGATATGATAAAAAATGAATCAGAGTTTCGAAAAGAATAAAACACGATCGCAGCGCCAAACGTGCGCGTGGCGCTAAACGATGGACTCTAGCGCCAGACGTCAGGTATGGTGCCAGGCGCTGATTAAAAACACTTCTTTTATTCTGATTAAAACTCTAAAAGTCAACTAAAGTTAATTTATCAATGCTAATTAAATTAGGATTCAAAAGAACCTTTTAGAACAATCTAGAAGACTATAATCAATTCTAATCACATTAGGAATGATAAATCAATATTAGGCCCTCCTCTAGATCATTGGACCGTAGGTAAAATCCGGTTTGGGCCCTGTTTATTATTTTAGCCACAACTTCCTCATTATTCATTGGAATTAGGCTTATAATATATCGTTGGAAAGGTCTTTTCAAGCCCCATCCAACTACACCATTATTGGACCCATATCATTGACCAAACTATACTGGAATGAAAGTTTTTCATAAATAGGGTAAGAAAAGAAATATTTTCAAAAACAGAAAGAAGAGATATTTTAATAAAAACAACCACATCACTAGAATTTTCACACTTTCGCTCCGTTCGATAGTCAAATGACATGAAAGGTACTCATCACTAGGTTTGGTTTTCGGGAGACACATTTGGGTGTCTACAATTATGACTCCACATGAAAGGTACTCATCACTGGGTTTGGTTTTGGGGAGACACAAATGGGTGTCCACACTAGAAAAAAAGGAGCATAGTTAGTTTTTTTAGCACTTAGCTTAGGTCAATCTCTTTTTTTTTTCCACCTGTTTTAAATAATTTTAATCAATTAATTAATGTTGTTTAATTTGATCACTTTGAATAAAATCTAATTAATTTATTCACATAGTATTCTTTCATTAATTAAAGACTGGAATTGAAATAATTAAAATTTGTTTTATTACCTAAGTTAAGGCGAATATTGTTTATTTCTTGTTCCTTTCACGAATTTAATTAAAAAAGAATAACGACATTCGTTGCAATGTACAATATTTGTGATTAAAATAAAATTAACTAATTTAGTCTAGGAATCGTGTTGCATATATTATGTAATGAAATTATGAAAAAGGAAGAGCTAGTAGAAGCCGCACTAGGGCTAGGATTGCAATTCTCAAAGAGAACGTTTTTCTAGTACCCTCGCTCCCGAACTAATTTCTGGTTTAGTAGATCAATTTGGGTATGGGTAAACTTATGATTCATGCTAATTATCCCTTGAACACTACTTGGGAGAAAGCTACATATGAACGAGGTTTATGAGTTTTCTTAAAACTCATTGGCGACTCTTTATTAGTTTCTTAAAAATAAAATAAAATAATGACACACTCAATTCTAATTCAAGGTCTCCCAAACAGTCAGGAATTAAAATCCTAAAACACCCTAAAAGTGTAAAGTCCAAGGATTTTAAAGGTTCAAGGATATAGAGCAAATAGGATCTCCAACGACTGGCCACCCTCCTCACACGTACCAATCATCACTAGTAGAAAAACAAATTTTGACACCGGGTTTTTGCGCCGATTCTTAAAAACCGATGGGAAAAAAATTAAGCGAGATTTATTATAATAGAAATGGCACCGGTTCAAACCAAACCGATGCCAAATTAGTGAAATGACACCGGTTTGAACCGGT